GCTGAGACTAGCCGTGCTGAGGGCAAGCAGGACGAAAGACATGAGGATGAAGAAACTTCTAAAGAAGATGAGGTGAAACAAACTGAAAAAGAGAAGTCGTCGTCAGAGATCTATGTTTCTGCAAGCGGACTCATACCAGCTGACCGACTCAAAGAATTCATCATGGGAACCATCAAGGACAAATTTGACGGAGGCTCCAAGTCATCTTTGACTTACTCGAAGCCATACACCCAAAGGATTGATAGCTTGAAGATGCCTACTGGATATCAACCACCGAAATTCCAACAGTTCGATGGTAAAGGTAGCCCGAAACAGCACATAGCTCACTTCATTGAGACTTGCAATGATACTGGAACATATGGAGATCGTCTAGTGAAGCAGTTTGTTCGATCACTGAAAGGAAATGCGTTCGAGTGGTACACCGACCTGGAGGCGAATTCTATTGATAGTTGGGAGCAACTAGAGCAAGAGTTTCTCAATCGCTTCTACAGCACACGAAGGACGGTCAGCATGATTGAGCTCACCCATACAAAGCAGTGGGATGAAGAGCCTGTTATTGACTACATCAACCGATGGAGAAATCTAAGCCTCAATTGCAAGGATCGACTGTCTGAAGCTTCGGCTATTGAAATGTGCACTCAAGGGATGCACTGGGGTCTCCGATACATTTTGCAAGGGATTCAACCGAGGTCGTTTGAAGAGTTGGTCACTCGCGCACATGATATGGAGTTAAGCATGAATGCAAGCGGGGTCAAGAATCCACCTATCCATGAGCCTCAAAGATTCAAGGACCGAAATGAAGCCAAGAAAGGGGGCAAGTTTTCCTCTAGAGCACCTAACAAAGAGGTCAAGAAAGCAATGGCGGTCAATGCAAGACCCATCAAACTCAAGGGAAACACAAGCGAAAAAGTTGTGGAAAAGAAAGAAGTCCCTCAAGAAAGGGGGCAAAGAAAATTAACCTTGAAAGAGATGCAAGCCAAACAATATCCTTTTCTTGACTCTGATGTTTCTGGAATTTTTGACGACTTGATTCGGGAACAACTTATTGAGCTTCCGGAGATGAAACGACCTGAAGAAGCAGGACAAGTTGACAACCCAAAATACTGCAAGTATCATCGTCTGGTGAGTCACTCCATCGAAGATTGCTTTGTCTTCAAAGATAGAGTTATGCAGCTGGCACGACAAGGCAAGATATCGTTTGAAGAAGACAAAGGGACTGCGAACTTTGCTTCAATTG